TGTTGGAGAAGAACCATCATCACAGTATATACCAACCACTTCTCGGCTGGGTGATTCTTGTCTCTATTCCAATTTTATTGTCGACTAGGGGAGCAGCAGAGCAGGATCGTTGGCCCTAGGTAACTGACAGTCTTTTAGCGCATGTATACTAAAGAAAAACACCAATAGACAATATTATCATGCTCGCATATAAATTGCATGAGCTAGTTCTGATTTTTCACTCTTGACTATAACTTTTTATGTGAGTGTTGGATGGTCATAAATTATTTCAATTCAAAAATTTAATTTAAAAACCCACCCATATCATGGGCTGGTGGAAATTGTCAGCAAATTTTTTCTTAAAGTCCAAAATTCACTTTAAATGCTCATTTTTAGACTCTTTTGTTATGATAAGTCTAGATTGATGTTGTTTGAAAATTATAACTTTTTTTTTTTTAAATTCCTTATTATTGTTTTGAAAGAATGATTTCTTGTTTTTTTATTTCGTTTTTGTGTGTTTAAGACACGCCATTTAAGCTACTTTAATGCATTTCATTTTCAATTATCATTGATTTATAAATTTTAGAGTTAAAGATTTTCTATATTTTTATTAATTTCTTTGCCATACTCTGCTTCAAATTCAAGCCATGTGCTTGTTGTCTTAAAATAAAAGGAAAATTAAAGGAAAAATGTACACAATACAATCGATTGGTCATTGTATCTACAAAGGCAACAAAGTACATACTACTCTTAATTAGCTCTCACCAAATCTTACATACGGTCCAATTTGTACAGCCGTTCTTGGGAATAACAAAAAACAGAACAACAACTCTTAATTAATACATAGTACTCAAGTTGAATTATGCTCCACAATGTAAATATTTGTTTATTAATTTAATCACCTTGTCAAGCTAATTAGGTTGAATATTCTTTTTTATACATAAAAATTAGCTAAGTTGATTATTCATAATATAGTGATTGATGTGCATCATAGAATACAGCTGGTTTATAATCAATTGACCAGAAAAAAAGAGTATTATAGTGACATTTATAATTAATTAACATTCTACAATTTACTTAATTATTACCTTTTGGTTCTTTTAAAGCAACGCAATCCAATTTATATCAAAAAGACTTTATGTATTAGGCCCAGATAAAAAAGACATTATGTTTCTGAAAAAGAGATCTATGTTTACAATATTGCATAACGGTCCCAACATTCTTGTGTTTTAAGCAAATCTTAATCCGATCCTAGTTTTGCTCCTTGCAGGACGGGAAAATGTCCCCATTTTTCGAACTTACCATCCATTGAAGAAAAAAATGTATTGGGCTAACACTGGATTTTCATTTAATATACACCTTCAAATTCATGATTTCATGGCGTTCATTAACGTTGGAATTTAATTATTTTAATATCTTCGAACCACATTTCGTATATAAATACAAAAAAGTGAGTTTTCTTGTTGGATCTTGAAAAGTCTATCCATACCAACACTAGCATATATACTTCTACTAGCAATGCATTTACGAATACTTAGTCATAATCTTGTTTTTTATTTTTTTTATAACGAGAAATTTAAATTCTAAAAGATACGTAGCTAGGTTTACGTGATAGCATATTTGTATTAATTTAAACTCGTGAGACATCTTATATATATATAGTTTAAGAATCTTAATATCATCGAGGACTTCTCATGAAGATCTCCACACCTCACATAATAATTCCCATGTATGAAGATTGTCATGGACTTAAGATGTACGTGGTTTGGAAGGTGGAAATGGCAGAACTTGCATTCAAAATTAACCTGTTCTCTCTCGTACCTTACAGGTCAAGTATGTTTGTTGCATAGAGTCCCATATCTCCTACGAACCAAGAGGGTCTTAGGCTTTAAGGAAAGATCGATGTTTTTATTTTTTATTTATCGTCGGCCCAGTAAACGGCTACACAATTTAACCTTATTCGTGATTTCAGTTTGAATATCGTAACATTTTAAAATTATCAACAAATAAAATAAAAAAATATTCTATGTAGCTATCTAATGAGAGTAGTAGGGAAAGTGAGCAGGAAGCAGCTGAGGACTTGTGGACTCCATTAATTATGAAGTCAAAGCTCTTCGGCCGGCACCACCGTAATGCTCCAAAGTGAAGCTCAAAGTAAACTAAAGAAACAAAACACCACTGTTTCAACAACTTTTGGGAAAGCTTTAAATCTCTTCATTTCTCCTCCTCTGCAATACCTAATTAATTGCTTTTGCTTCTCTTACAAAAACACAAACCCTTTTCAGACATTCACCATGGTTCTGGACGGTGCGATTGGGGGAGCATTCCTCACCAGTGCTGTTGATCTTTTGCTCCAGAAGTTAACCTCTCCTGAAATTCTGCACTTCTTCAAAACTCAGAAGCTTGATGATAGACAATTGGAGGACATGAAGGCAAAAATGAGATCTGTCAGCAAACTGCTTGATGATGCTGAGGATAAGCAGATCACCAACTCCTATGTGAAAGACTGGCTTGATGAACTTAAAGATGCTGTTTATGAAGCCCAGGACTTCTTTGATGAGCTGGCCTTTGAAGCGGGACGATTGAAATTGGAAGCTGGAGCTCGAAGTCAGACTCGCACAAATCAGATGCGGAGCTTCCTCTCTTCTCTTATCCCGTACAAAAAGGGTATGAAGGAGATGGTATCGAAGCTAGAAGAGATCTGCCAGACACTTGAACGTTTGCTAAAGCAGAAGGATGATCTTGGTCTAGAGGTCATTCAAGGAAAACCACCAAGTGTATTTGTACCAAAAACTTCTTTGCCACAGGATTCTGATTTTTTTGGCAGAAATGATGATTTGGAAGCCATTGTGAAGTTGCTGCTATCAGCTGATGCATGTGGCCGAAAAATACAAGTCATTCCCATAGTGGGAATGGGTGGGATTGGTAAAACCACACTTGCTCAGCATGTCTACCATGATGACAGAGTGCAGGAGTGTTTTCCTCTCAAGGCATGGATCTACGTTTCCAAAGATTTTGATCATCTCAAAGTGACAAAAGAACTTGCAAAGGAGGTTGGACTAGCCGATTGTAATGCCGTGACAGAGAATCAGCTTCACGAAGAGCTGGAGAAGAAACTGAAGGAAAAGAAAGTTCTGATTGTTTTGGATGACGTATGGAATGATAGTGCTTCTGATAAATGGGGCTTTTTACTGACTCCTTTAAAGGTTTTGGGCGAGGGGAGTAAGATTATTGTCACAACGCGCCATGAAAGTGTAGCTTCATTCATGCGAACGACATCAACAATGCTATCTGTTTCAGCTTATCATCTGCAGGTATTAAATGATGATAGTTGCTGGTTGTTGTTTTCAAAACGTGCCTTTACAATTGACAATGCTAGTGCACGTCAACCGTTGGAGAAAATTGGCAGAGAAATTGTGACAAAGTGCAGGGGCCTACCATTAGCTGCAAGAACACTTGGTGCTCTATTGTGTTGCAACACAGATCCTAAAAAATGGGAGGAGATACTGAACAGTAACATGTGGGATTTGCCAAATGTCGAAGTTCTTCCAGCTTTGAGATTGAGCTACTATGGTCTCCCTTCGCATCTAAAACAATGTTTTGCTTACTGTGCGATATTTCCGAAGGGTTATGAATTTGAAAAGGAGGAACTGATACTTTTATGGACGGCAGAAGGTTTTATAGTCCAACCTGAAGGCAGTGAGAACTTCCAAGCGCAAGGTGACAAGTACTTTGATGATCTTGTATCAAGATCGTTTTTTCAACAATCAAGTGCTGTATCGTCCTGTTTCACCATGCATGATCTCATAAATGACTTAGCTCAAGATGTGTCCAGAAAATTTTGCTTCAGGGTAGAGGATTCGAATTCTGGGTACGAGTGTGGTTTGCAGGATGGCAATTCTTGCAGGCTACCTAAAAAGACTCGCTATTTGTCATACCTAGAATCAAGATCTCATGATGTCTCCAGCATTTTTGAGGGCATTCATAAAGTCCATCCTCTTCGCACCTTCTTGCCACTGACATCCTCACGGGGAGCACATTTTGATAGCCAGGTATTGCAAGATAAATTGATTATTCTTAAGCGCCTGCGAGTGCTATCTTTTCCTCGGTATTGTCATTTAAATCAGTTGCCCGATTCAATTGGCAACTTGAAACATTTGCGATACCTAGACCTCTCTAATACAGGAGTAAAAAGGTTGCCTGAAATTGTGAGCATCTTGTACAATTTGCAAACATTAATTTTGCAAGGGTGTCGACATCTCGTTGAGTTGCCCACCAACATGTGCAAATTGGTCAACTTAAAACATCTCAATATCAGTGGGACAAAATTGAAGGAGATGCCATCACATATGGGAAAACTCACAAAGCTTCGAAAGTTAACAGATTTCTTTTTGGGAAAACAGAGTGGGTCCAACATCAAAGAATTGGGGGAGCTCGTAAATCTAGAAGGAGAAATTTGCATTTGGAATCTCCAAAATGTTGTGGATGTTCAAGATGCTTCGGAAGCCAGTTTGAAAGGGAAGAAGCAACTTGAGCAATTGGAGTTAAGATGGGATGGTGATACTCACGACTCAGAACATGAGTTCATGGTACTTGACAAATTGGAGCTTCATATAAATGTGAAAACACTTACAATTGTCGGTTATGGGGGTAAAAATTTTCCATCTTTCTCAAATCTAGTAAGGTTGGTTCTTCGTGGATGTAAACAAGCGACCTCCTTACCCCCACTTGGGCAGTTGGCGTCTCTTGAAAAGCTCGAGATTAAGGCATTTAATGGAGTCGTGTCCGTTGGCTCTGAGTTCTATGGAAGTGACCCTTTGATGGAGAAGCCATTTAAATCTCTCAAGTTTTTAAGTTTTGAGGGGATGCCACAGTGGGAAGAATGGATTAATTCAGGTGCAGCAGCTTCAGGTGCTTTCCTGCTTCTTGAAGAGCTTTACATAGTTGGATGTCCCAAGTTAGCAAATGCCTTGCCTAGTCACATACCATCTTTATGGAAGCTTGAGATTAAAGATTGTCCAATGCTTCTGGTTTCAATTGCAGGTGTTCCCAATCTCACTACTATTTACATATATGACCATCCTCGTCTTATAAGTACAAAGGTATCTTCTACTGGGATGTTGAGTCTTATAGTTACAAAAGATTCCCTGCTAATTGGAATGGAGCAAATGGTTGGTCTTTCCACTTCTTTAGAAGAAATTGCAATCTCTGAATGTGATTCACTCGATTGCTTCCAGCTGGACTTGTTTCCCAAGATAGAGAGGCTGGATGTCGCAAATTGTCTAAGTCTTGAATCGGTTTGTACCCGTGAAGAACCTCTTGCGGATTTCACGTCCCTTCGTTATCTATCAATCACAGACTGTCCTGCTTTCTTTACTTTTCCTGATGGAGGATTAGCTGCCCCAAACTTGACAAGCCTTGAGTTAAGGGGTTGCATAAATTTGATCTCGCTGCCAGAGAGTATGCATTCCCTCCTCCCTTCCTTCGAGAATTTGAAGTTAGTGTCCCTTTCAGAACTTGATTCGTTTCCAAGAAGTGGTTTGCCTTCCAAATTAAAATCACTGTGCATCAACTGTTGCAGCAAACTCATTGATAGCCGCATGTTATGGGATTTGCAATCACTTCCTTCTCTTTCAACCTTTTCAATTGAAGACTATGAAGATATGGAATCCTTCCCTGAGGAGGCAGTACTGCTACCCTCAACTCTTACTTCTCTTGCAATTCGTAGTCTTTGGAATCTGAAATCTCTAAACTACAAGGGGTTTCAACACCTCACCTCTCTTAGAGAATTGAAGATCAAAAACTGCTATTTTCTCAGATCCTTGCCAGAAGAAGGGCTGCCCTCCTCCCTTTCTTCTCTTCAAATCCGGTATTGTCCTTTCCTGGAGAAAAGCTGTGAAAAGGAGAGAGGGGAAGATTGGCACAAAATTTCTCACATCCCCGAGATACAGATTAATAGATGCAAGATCAATTGAGCCAAAAGCATAGAAGAAAGTCACGTTTCTGTCATTCATCCAACATGCGTAGGTATTTACAATTTCTCATTCATTATTTCTACTTCGTCAAAAACAGAATTTGTTAGTCCATTTCATATTCTTCTAAAACTTCAGAATTTATAATACAGATCAGCCAGTTTACAATATGGTCCATTCCTTAACAGTTAAATCATATTAGTCTCTTTTAGAGCTGTGAAACTGAAGCATATTATAATCGGATCATTGGTTAATCATGCTGCTGTAGGTTCTCGACCCATTTTCTCCTCTAGCAAATATTGAAGCATAATAGACATTCAAGAACTTTATTCCAGTGGCAAAAAAAGTGCATAAATTTGATATCTATTGCTTCCAGTTGTAAAGAAGGAACTTGATTTAATGTGCTATGACCTTCTATATGACATGCTTTCTTCCTTGATTGGTCTGCAGCGGCACACTCTCCAGCGAGCCATAGTTTGCAGCTTGCAGAATGGAAACTGCTTAATATGTGAACGGTTTACAGCCAAAACATTGGTAAGATATGCCATTTCATCTTATCCTGATATAACATCACTTGTAAATGGCTCATTCTACTGACAAGTGACACTTGAGCACCACCAGTCTTTGCTTTAGATTTCGGATCTATAATTCTGTGATTCTGTTGAATGGTACTTATCATAGGTGGGCTCTGTTATATTTTTGTCTAAGTTGTTGCACAGGATAATGGAAATGGAGACTCTTAAATTCATGTCTAATTGGTGCCTTATTGTGTAAGCTGCAAATTGGTATCAGTTTCTTCGCAAAGAAACAAATATTGGAAAAATATGCTTCTTGTTTCTTTGTTATATTCTCCATGACTCCCGTTTTGTACTAAAGAGTTAGTTGCTTTACATTCTCTTGCTGTTATCATAGTTCTTGTAACAGTATAAATTTTTCAAAGGCTAAAGTTCTCTGTTGAACGATATCTCAGGGTTTCATTTACTTGTGCCAGGCTTGAAAATCTATTCAACCTCTACCGAATGTATTGAAGCCAAAATTGAATCCTTACATTTATCTGATAGGTTATCTACGCTCTTCTGTTTCTTAACATAGTTCCCTTCCCTGAGTACTGATCAAGATGAATAGTTTCACAAATGCAGGACCGAGTCATTGATCTTACACTTGTCATGCATGCTTTTGTTGTTTGGTTTTTGAGAATGCAAAATAAGTTTTTCTTAGCGAACGAAATTATAGTTATTCAATCAATGTAGGGCAGATTTTTTTTTAATTAGTTTAAAATCATTAGAGATTCTGAATTCAAAGCAGATGTATAAAGAAGAGAAAAACGAAATTTGAAATCTGGCACAAGCAGCTGCCTAATAATAGTATCATTTTTTGTGCTGGTTTTATTTTCAGGGTTAAACTTGAGGGATGGCCAAACGCCACAGGGAGAAGATGAGGGTGAACGCAAATTAAGTGAAGGTGGATTGAAATGAGAATTGGGAATGGCCAACTACTGAACGTATAAGAAAGGGTAAAACTTAAAAGAGGCTACAGCCAGCCAAAGCTGCAGCAGATGAGCGACGAGGATATCCTAAGTGTTGTTACTTGTTAGTTCCCCTGTCCAAGCAACAGATCCAAAGCTACAATAGAGATCACTACAAAATTTGCTCATTTTTTGTTCTATTTGGAAAGCTGTGTTGCCAACATCTTGTGCGCTATTTTATGTTGAATCCAAATTATTAGTTTATATTCCATGCACTGGCTATTTGTTCACTCTCCTACTTTCACTAAGACTAAGAGATTGTTAGTCCATTTTGAATTCTTCTTGTTGAAATTTTTTGGAGTAAAAGATGGTGATAGCTACTGGAACTAAGAGAATTTGATAGTTTGGAAATTGTTGAATGGACTGGATTGTTGAGGAGGAAACAAGTAATTTCATTGATGACATAAAGTAGTAAAATTTTGGTACAAGTGTGCGTAGTATCTGGAATTTGATAGTTTGTCACCTAAAATTGTTTGTTCAGTCAAATCCCATGCCCCTCTAGTTGTACTTCTATAAGCGAAGGTTCGTGGAAGCCCCATCCCATGCCCCTCTAGATGTCATTTACTAACTGCTGCCCTCTTCTTTGACCTCTCGTGTAATATCGAGGCCTGCAAATCTGAAATCTCTGAACTATAAGGAGCTTCAACACCTCACCTCTCTTAGAGAATTTGTTCGAGTTTTAAAGCAAATTTGTATTTTAAGAACAAAAAGCAACAGAGATAGAAAGCAAGAATAGCATAAAATGTGTGCTGGAAAGTTAATTTTTTATTGAACTGATCATGGGCTTAAATACAGAAAAAACTTCAACTGAAAATCAGAAATTTAAGCAACTAAGACTGACACATTCACATGACTAACAAACTCCTAAAATATTACCACTAACAGCAGATGCATCAATGAAATAGTCAAAGAAACTAAAAATAGCTAAAAGACATGACTAAGTCTTGTGGACCAATTCTGCAGTAGCTGATGCAAACTTTAACACTGCTCCTTGCTTCAGTTGCTGCAAATTCCGAGCTTTTTCTCTTAGAAATTCAAACTTGCTTGTTGGTAAAGCTTTGGTGAATATGTCCGCTAGCTGAAAATCAGTCTTGCAGTAGTTCAAGCTAACCGATCCTTCTTTCGCACATCTTTGAGAAAGAATAATTTGATGTTGAAGTGCTTTGTTTTCCCATGAAAAACAGGATTCTTTGAGATGGCAATTGCAGCTTTGTTATCCACAAACACCTCTCGTGCTCTCTTCTTGCTTCAAATTCAAATCAATTAGCACCTTTCTAAGCCATAAGGCTTGATTTGCAGCAACTGTTGCTGCAATAAACTCGCTTCAGCGATTGATTGTGCAACAATCTCTTGCTTCTTGGAACACCATGAGAATACACCCGAGCCAAGATTAAAACAAGTAACTCGAAGTACTCTTCATGTCATTTGAACCTCCCCAATCACTCGTCGAATATCCCCGCAAGACACACTTCGACTCCGCACGTAACTTTACTCCAAAATCCAAGTGTTCCCTTAACATATCTTATAACTCTTTTAGCCGCTATAAGATGAGTCTCAGTTGCACAATTACAAAATCTGGACAATACACTTATAACATGCAAAATATCAAGTCCGGTTGCTCGTCGGATACATGAGACAACCAACCATACTTCCGTAAAGAGTTTCATCCATTATTTCAGCCTTCATCATTTATGCCCAGACTTCTCCTTTTGACACATTGGAGTAGGTATTTCTTTGCAATTTTTCATTCTAAATTTCTTCGAACCTCCCTTGCGTATTTCTTCCGACGTAAAAAGATCTCATTCTCGCTTTTGCTTTATCTCGATTCCCGTAAAGTAAGCCATCTCTCCCAAGTCTCGTCATCTCAAATGTTCTTTGCATATCTTGTTTGAATTCTTCAACAAGACCGACATTGCTTCCGTAACCAACAAGTCATCAACATACAAAGAAACAATCACAAAATTGATTTCATCACCTTTGATGTAGAGGGTAGCTTCACTAAGGCTTTTTTTGAAACCCAACTCCATCAAATGCTCATCAATTCTGCCGTGCCGAGCTCGGGTGCCTCGCTTCAGCCCGTACAAAGGTTTTTTGAGTAGGTACACTTCATTTTCATGCCCTTTGATTGCAAATCCATCAGAGTTGTTCAATATAAATCTCCTCCTCAAGCAAGCCATTTAAGAATGCAGATTTGACATCCAATCGGTACACCTTCCAACCTTTTTGTGCAGCTATAGCAAGTAACAACTCGATTGTATCCAGCCTAGCAACATGAGCAAATGTGTCGGAGAAATTGATACCAAAAATTTGAGCATACCCTTTTACAACAAGCCTGGCTTTATGCTTGTTTATGGAGCCATCTGCATTTAGTTTTGTTCCGAACACTCATTTTACTCCTATCACTTTTCTCGTTTTTAGGCCTCTTCACAAGCTTTCATGTTTGGTTCTTTTCAATCATGCTCGAGTTCTTCCTTCATTGCTGCAACCCACTTTAAATCCTTCTCGCCTTCCCAATAATTTGCGGGTTCAAGTACCGCCACATTGCATCTCCGATAAATATCGAAAAGCAGTCTTGTGCCCCTTATCGGTTCATCATCCACCAACTCTTCTTCATTGAGCCGAGGCTTAGGAATTTGAGCTGGTTGTGTTCCTTCCCGTGCCATTTGTTATTCTCCATGAAATGCACATCTCTCGCTTATAATAATTTTCCTTGTTTGAGGTTGGAAAATTCTATAAGCTTTGGAGAATGTGCTATATCCCATAAAAATTCCAGCTTCGCCTTTCTATCTAGCTTATCTCTTTTGATCCGTGACACATAAGTAAAGCACAAACATCGAAATACTTTGAGGTTTTTTAGAGAAGGTTTATAACCATACCAAGCCTCAAAAGGAGTCTTTCCATCTACGACTTTGGTGGGCGACTCTATTCAACGGAAAAATAGCAAGTATTTACAGACCTCTTCCCGATACGCCTTTGGCAAATCTTTTTCATGAATCAAGCATCTTGCCATCTCCATTATGGTACGATTCTTCCTCTCACCGACTCCATTTTGTCGTGGAGTGTATGGAGCCGTGAGTTGGTGCTCAATTCCCGTTTCTTCACAAAACAAATTGAATTGTTCGGATGTGTATTCCTTCCCATTGTCGGACCTCAAGGCTTGAATTTTGCAGCCACTTTGAGTTTCAATCCACTCGCTTGAATTTCCAAAACACACATGCAACCTCCGACTTGAACTTGAGAAAATAAATCCAACACATCCCGCTGAAATCATCAATGAAGATTATGTAGTACTTACACCCATTGAGAGAAGAAGTTCTTTGAGATCTAGCCAGTGTCCGTATGGATCAATTGAAGCTTTTTAGTAGCCCTCTAAGTTGCTTCCTTAAAAGGAAGCCTTGCTTGCTTGCCAAACTTGCAAGCTTTGCAATCTGGTATGTTTGCTTCAAGTTGAGGTAGCCCTCGAACTAATTCTTTTTTATGCAAATTCATAACAAATTGCATGATTGAAGTGACCCGACCTTTTGTGCCATATCTCCGTAGTGATTTTTATTGCATAGAAGGTTTCTTGTTCCTCCTCCAATGGATCTAGTGCAAAGCTTTTTCCTTTCATTTTCACTTTGAACACCTCCTCATCTTTTGAGTCTTTGATCAAGCAGTGGTTGCCCTCAAAGATCACCTTGAATCCTCTTTCAAGCAAGCTGGCCAACACTCAACAAATTTTGACCGATATTAGGTACAAATAACACATCTTTGATAAGCTTTGTACCCGAAATACTTTCAATTGCCACTCGTGCCTTTTCCCTTAACCGCAATGTACTCTCCATTGCCAATTTTGACATTGGAAGTTACCGATGTGTCTAGCTCCTTGAAGAGTTCTCAATCAAATGTCATGTGGTTTGTGCAACCATTGTCAACAAGCCACTTGTCACTTGTACGACTTGTTGCAAAACAAGATGCAACAAAGAGTCGCTCCTCCTCTTCTTCTTGATCTATAACTTGTGTAACATTCTTCCGTTGAAAGTTGACTTGAGTCACATTTCTTTGTTGTGGATTGCTCTTACAAATTTTCCGA